AGTGTTGTCTGGTCCTGCTAGTCCGTTCCCGCAATAATAGAGCGAGAGGAAGGCTAAGAATAGACGCCACATATATAAACGGCAACTATAACACGCTCTTGTTTTGCTACTGTCTTTTGCTGGCTGCTGCTTGGACTCTCTAGTCTTTGAGTCTCATAAATTCAGTACCATTACACCCGCGCTGCGTAATATTACAAAATACAAATACAATTACTCCTGCTCGTAGCTGGACTTTTTCTTCTAAAGCTCAACTCTACTGTGACTACATTGTAGACCCTCATGGTTTGAGTTCTCAGGTCATTCCTAATAATTTGCTTCTTTTTTCATGTTGATTCCATCATTCCTATCATCCTATGTTAGGCCTATTGCCATTTGTCTGCACTCTGCAGTGAGTGGCTGAGTGCAGTCTACCAGCTCTCCAAAGTCCAAAGACCATCTACATGACCATGAATGATATGATAATAGAGTACCTAAATAGACTAGGTATACCAGTTTGAGGTGCCAGTACTACTGGCGTTATGTATTTAAGTCAAATTTAAGTGGAATTCATATGGTATGGTGCTATGGTAATTGTAATATACACACATAAGAATGAACTTAGCATGCTTATTAAATATTAATTGTGGTACACTGGTACTTATTTTGTCTGACTCTGAGGCACTGATCTGCCTGTTGGCTGTTGCCCGTGGCTAAGTGTTGTCTGTGTTAATTAACTGCTATGTGTAATGTTTCCTTGCAGTGGAATAAATCATTTTAGAATTATTATTACTGAACACTATATGCCAATTTAGAAATACTTAAATTTTGTGATTTGTGTCTTAACCAACTTTGAAATTTTAATGAGAATATCTTTTTTAAAATTTATGGCTATCTGTTAGGCAGCAAAGATTGAAGCTGAAAATTTTGTATGAAATTCCTTCAATTGTTAAGGATTTATTAAAAGTATACTGAGAATTTTCTGTATGGCATAATTAGGTATAAGAGAAGGACATTGAGGTGTAACAATGCTATGACTTGAGTCCTGATTAAACTGAAATATATTTTAATACATCCATTAGTAAATCTGTTATTTTATTATGAGCTCATTAGCTTAGGAATAAATTGATAAAATATATTGGAATTGAGCATTAAATTTGACGCATTGTTAACTGCCTGTCTCTTATACACATCTAGATGTGTATAAGAGACAGAGNATGCAAATCTTACTCTGCCGTACTAATAGATTATTACTCACTCGTGGCAAATTTTACATTGAAAACAGACATATTTCCATGAGAATCGGAATTAATGTGGAAATATTCAGGTAGCAGAGGCTGAAGAATTTGTGTCCTATTTTAAAATCTTTCTCATACTTGAATCATAAATTTATTTGAATAATATCAGTCTTCTCAATTACCTTAACCAATTTCAATTGGAAGTTTTATATGTTAATAGATAATATATATTTACATTAGAAAGGCACTGTCATTTAATACCTACATCTTAAGCTGCAGAGTGAACTGAAACTTATGGCCTAATATGACCTGAATGCTAGAGCAGTATTCACATTTTAAGTGTCACAATCTTAATTAAATCTTGAAATTGTTGTATTGCTTCTCTGAGACTTGGATCATGCTATTTAGTTGAATGTAAAGCATGCAAAATCACATTCCTCATTGCATTGAAGTATGTAGGTTTGCTTAAAATCAGTCGTCACTAGAAATTATTGCACCTGAGAATTTTTTTAAGTCAATAGGTATATTACTTTATTGCGTTTGTTAAGTTTAGCTGATTACTCCAGACAAAGTCTGGGATTGTTTGTTTAAGATGTAAGTTCAATGATACAAAGTTTCTTTGATCAACTGGTTATTTTTGGCAATAATACTGTATGATAGGGAGCATTTGATATACATATTATTTTCAATGTTTTGTATTTCAATTATCAACAGCACTAATTTAACCATCTATTGCCTGGCATGAGTAACCAGAGCAAAATTGTCACAAACCTACTTCCCAAAAAGGATACGTTCTAGTGAGCGCAAAATGACTTGCACTGATGGTTGCCGCCACGTACGACAACTTTAAAATGTTCTCTGTTGCGTACAAACGTCCTCAGTTAGCTACACTCAATAGTTTACATATAATTTAGGTGTAAAGTTATGTTCCCGGAGAGTGTCATATGGCGGCAGAGGTTAATAGTGCTTCACTCTCAACTGCGAATGGACTTTGCACTTATCCCCTATATATCGTATGCATGATGCTATTTTGACTAGAGTTGTGTAAGTAGTTGGATGTCTTCGGACGTGGTTGGTATGTATGGCTGGCTGTCGTCACACGAACCCCAACAAGTGTGAGCAGTGAGCTGGTGTGACAAGCTCGCCTCATGTAGCCTTCTAACACTTGCAAGTGCAGCTGTGCATCCATCCCTCTTATCTGTAGAGAACTGATTTGTTTAGCAGGATACCAGCTATCAGGCTGTGCACAGTACCAGCTATCAGGCTGTGCACAGTACCAGCTATCAGGCTGTGCAAGGCTGTGCGCAGTACCAGCTATCAGGCTGTGCGTAGTACCAGCTATCAGGCTGTGCGCAGTACCAGCTATCAGGCTGTGCGTAGTACCAGCTATTAGGCTGTGCACAGTACCAGCTATCAGGCTGTACGCAGTACCAGCTATTAGGCTGTGCACAGTACCAGCTATCAGGCTGTACGCAGTACCAGCTATCAGGCTGTGCGCAGTACCAGCTATCAGGCTGTGCACAGTACCAGCTATCAGGCTGTGCACAGTTTACTGTACGCGTTATGCCATGCCTTTCTATTCATAGTGTCACACTAAGCAGCAGTTGTAACACACACAGCCCATCTAGCGAGACACATACGTTTAGTTATAGCAGCTTGATGTTGTTGGTGGGATGATTGGGATCAATACCTTCATTCATGTTTGTGCTGCCTAGCGACCATCGTAGGTAGCTTGGGGACTGGCTGGTGCGAGGATTCTAATTCATCGTTTCAATGCTGGGTTAGGTGCATTAAATAAAGCCTGGCTTCACTGGTATTTGAGAGGCGCCGTCAAGACTTCACTTATAGAGCGTCTCTTATCTCTAGGTATGCCAACCAACATTAGCTCGCTGACCTCCTTTCTACTCTCAGGCTTATCTCCTTTTTAGGACATTTTCTCATTTATGGAAAAAAGGCGCTATAGTGCTTCGTCATGTCCGTCCGTCCGTCCGTCCGTGACTTCACACGTTTTAACCGACGAGAAAATTCGCTCTCTGTCACTCACTGCAGTGAGTACTGAGTTATATTTCTTTTCGTTGTCATTTCCTTGTCAGGACTCGTTGGTTCGTTAATCAGTGATTTAAATTGAATCACAGAATTCTTCATCTCGATGAGAAAACACATGTAGGCACCTTTTTTTTTAGCTCTCATTCATAGAAAGAGCTTTTTCTTAATCATTTGTTGTTAAACTTTGCTAGTTTTCAACGACTAACTCGGTGATATTGCACTGCGAACGGTTTAAAACTTTGCGCTTATAACTTAACGGTTTCCAGTGTGTGTCGCTCCCGCATGTCTTTTTAGAGCATTTTCTCATCCATAAAAAAATGCGCCACTGGGCTCGTTATGTCCGTCCGTCTGTCTGTTCGTCCATCCGTCCGTCCGTGACCACGTTGTTGTCGACGAGAAAATGCGCTCTCTATCACTCACTGCAGTGATTACTGAGTTACTTATATATATTTTTTTGTAGTATGTGTACAGTGAGCTGCGTGATAGGTATATATTACTGTTACCGAGCTATTTTAAATGGAGGAACCCAGCAATCTTCTCTCTTATTAACAACGTCCTGCTTGTTTTTTCTGCTCTTACTGAGCTGCCGTAAGCTCTGTCTGCACTCTTACTTCTCATGACCTGTAGAATGGAGATAAGTATACCTGGTCTATCTCTACGCAAACGATACATCATGCGAATCTTGTGACGTTCAAAGCTCAACCATTTATTTTTCTAAAATTAGTTATCTTATGCGAGTAACTACGCAAACGATACATCATGCGAATCTTGTGACGTTCAAAGCTCAACCATTTATTTTTCTAAAATAAGTTATCTTATGCGAGTAATTATTTGTATATACACTGTACACTTTGTAGATAATCGGTCATTCTATGTTGGAAGTTTGCATAACATTGAGTATTGTTTGCATACAGCTAGCTTCAGATGGCCTTGACGCAAGCTCATGAAGAAAGCTGCCCTTTAGTTACGCGAGTAGCAGGCTCCTGCGTAATTTACTAGTATTTAACTCTTGTTTGACTAAGTGAGCGCAACTTTACCTACACTCTCTACGATTATAATATAGGTAGCAAAATTGTGTTGTACGACAAATATTAAAATGCTAGCCGATTACCCCAAATTCTGATGGTATTGTGGCGATATTGACAAAATGGCGCAGCTGTGTTTGGTGTCTTGGCTATGTTGCCTGCTGCTTGCTTGTGCGTTCAATATACCGGTACACTACGAGCTAGAGCTCGGTTGCAGTGGTGTGCGTGACTAGAATGTACCTACCTAACTCGGTCTTGCTCAGGCATGCACAGTTCACACTAACTCAGCACCATCTTCATGGCTGTTTATCTGGAAAAATCGTCATTTTGTACGAATAATTCTTAGTCCTATGATCTGATGACCGTTCTTGTTCTCATCGTGGAATTTAGCTTTTAATCATGTGCATCAAATGTGCTTACCGGTCCAATATTTTCTCGCTATGTTCGAAATTTCGAAATTATTTTGTTATTAATTATCTCGATGACGATCTTACAAACATTTACGCATAGGAGCCTGACTTGATTGCTTAAACGAAGAACACGAGAGTCTTATTATATATATATATATTGTTGAATGAAGAACTTACGACTGTCGCAATACTCTGTAGAAAACCGCTCTAAGCTGGTATACAGATAAATTTATATCCATGATAAATTTATTTAGGCCCTTAAATTGTTGTAATTAGAATTCGTATTGGAGAAATACTGAATTGTAATGGTGGTGTTGGTGCAGATGGCGGCGCACAGAGCGCAGCAGCAGGTGCGACTGCGACAGATACAACAGACACGCAAGCAACTGCTGGGGCGCAGTGCGAGCTACAACGGCACAGCGCCCACAGCCCGCCATCCCGCCATACACAAGCCCGGCCACCTCTCAGCACACTGCTCCCGCACCTCCTGTGAGTACACGCTGCTCTTCCTATCTTGACCCTCTCTTCCTATCTTGGCCATCCTTTCCTATCTTGACCATCCTTTCATATCTTGCCTATCTCTTCCTGTATTGACCATCCTGCCTAAAACCTTAGTGGTGTATATATAGCAACTGTGATCAAATAGGGACGTTGAGCGTTAGGTCAGGCCGTGTCCCTGTCATTGAGCGCTACATGCTTGGACCCTGTATAGAGTATTCCTGCTTCCGTATGTTGATCATATACTTCATAAAGCTGATACTTTGGTGTAACAATTATCATGATAATCCACGTGTTAAAAAGTGTTCTGTATTTCCAGGCTATTAAATTTGACGATTTAGGAGTGCAACTTACATCAAGAAAATTTTAAAATTATTAAATATATTCTTTTCTGTTCAGTTGATGCTATAATTCAGGCTGGTATTGCTGAAGGTAATGAGTGGATCAATTTATCCTCATAAACGAGTAAGAAACAGTAGAAATTCATCAAAAAATTCTGCCTAAATTTATAAGTAGGCTTGAGAGTAAGAGCCAAGAATATAACCCCATGTACAAGTTATCCAAATATCCAACCTCGAAATCTCATTCGGCTGCCACCAAGAAGTGTCAGAGCTAGAGCGACTGCTTTGGTCTTGAATTTCTCGATTCAGTTGGGATCCAGTTGATCTCTCGACCAAGGTTGGGACTGCGCTCATTTCAGGAGACGACGCACGTGAATTATCGCCGGAACGCAAAAATTCAAACATTACAACAGTTACATGTGACCTTAAAAATGAATTGATTGCATTGCATGTGTTTAGAGGCGATATAATCTACGAGTTTACAGTGTCGCTAAGCCTTGCGAGGAAGAATAATGCTGTGCTACGCGTTCAGCGGCTTGGCAGTAGTTTTCCACTGTTGACAAGCCATCTTATCAGCCGCATGCGCGGCAATCTTGCTTTTGGTATCAGCTATGCCGTGTTTATGCTTCGTCAAGTTCGTCATGAGACCCCTGATCGATTTGATTATAGATGTCGTCAGACTCAATTCATTGATAATTGAACTCGTGCTCAATTGTTCTGGAACGTTCTTCGAGGCACCCCTGAAAGAATTTCAAGAATATTCGATGGAAATGATGATTTATTTGATGCTCAAAGTGTGGGTGATTCGAAGACTAAAATGAGCTGCGGTACGTCATCGTTTACCAATAACGTCAGAACTTCCATTAGCTGATCGCAGAATTAAGAAAAGGTGATTAGTATTATACAGCTGACAGTTGCTCATTTATTTCTGTATTGATACTATACCTTACTAATATTCTTTATACTATATCATTTTTTTATTTGCATATTCCTGGCAGTTTTATAGCTATTGTTTTTATTATATTTTTTTCGCAAATAAATTCATCTTGCCTACATTCAACCGTGAACCCTCACGGCTGCGGAAAAATCTTACGCGACAGTCAAAAGCAAAAATAATCGAACATTCTTAATTGCTTCAGCGCCGTGGTTAATTTCGTTTCTACATTATTTTATGTTATGTGCACTAGTTAAACATTGTCCAGTAAAGCCCGTGATGAAAAAAAAAACACTAATCCGATGTTTAATTGCGCAAGAGTTTCTCTACCCCACTTGAGCATCATGCGAGTTAATTATGAGCTAGCAAACCTGTACTATTGAGCAAGCACTCCCAAGCTGACGACGCTGAGTTACAATATGGTGAGAAGTGCGCAGTTGTATGCGGCGGCTATGGCGGGAGCTTCACAGAAACACAGCCCGTGCGTGATCTCAATGACCTCCCTGACTTATGCTGCCTCTTTTCCTCCCATTTACATTGGCTTATCATTCAATTAATTACATTTCGTTGCATGCGCAGTTTGACATGAAATTCTTGCCAAGCTGAAATCAACTGGTAAAGTTTCGACTGTGTTGGGCTGGGCCGTAAAAGAAGAAAATTGTTAGAAGAAAGATCTTGAAGTTTTTATATGTAATCTCATGTGAAGTTACTAGAGCTGTCAATACGTAGTATTCAAATCAACAAGCGACCATATCATCCCCTCTGGTTCACTGCTGATTCCTGTCACGTATATGTCACGTTTTACTTCCTGCAGGTTGATTGGTATTGATGTATAGGTCATTGATTTCCGGGGCTGCGATACGGTCCGAACTAACGCCCGTGAATGGTTGCCACATTTTAAAAAGCAGTGTCAGCGTCAGACGCGTGACTGCGCACTCATATTTCGTTATCACAAGCCGTCTTGTGATAAGGCTTGACACGAGTTGTTTGGTGTAAAATTCCGTTATTCGTGACGATGCACTGATCACGAGTTATTTTACCTTCGACTTGTCACTTATTTATCGCGGTTGAATCGCCTTAGCTTCCGCGTTTCAGGGTCGCGACAGAATTGATGAGCCGTTTTAACGCGCTTTCAAACTGTGCAGTTTTGACTCGTCACCTCTTGCCGACTAGATAGAAAAATGTAATAGTTAGATTATTATTGACAAATAATCATCGTATGCGTTTATGCCTTAGCAACTCATCACTGACTGGTCTTCATTATCATATATGAAAACAGTGAATAAGTCACGTCTTTTACTTACTTCTGGAAACGGTTGACTATTTCCCCCAAGTATTATGGTCGTCTCTGACAAACAAAAGCGAATACAGCTGTGCTAAAATAACTGCAAGTCTCACAGACTACCAGCGCCGGTACAGTAGCAGGTTTTGGTGCCTAAATACGCATTCTCAACGGAAAAACTTGCGAGCGGATCTGCGTATTTATCCAAGCTCAGGTATCCACCGAGAGCTGCTAACACTGGACGGCAAAAAACAAACCACGTGCAGTGCTCGCCAATTTTGAACTGAATGAAGTTGTTTGTTATCTTTAATGGAAAGTGCAAAGCCTTATTAATGCGATATTGCCTCAGTTTCAGCCTTGGTGATTGCTCAAAACTTAGCCTAGCTTGTCTCGTGGTGATTTAGCATTGCTTATTCTTAGTTTAATAAGTGTCGCATCATGCATGACGCAGTGCACAATATTTGTAGTGAGTGCTCGCTGTTCGTTGAATACATACCAGTTCATTAGTAATTGTCATGTTATTGCATCGGATGCGTTCTGCGCAAAGATCTATTTTTTTTAATCACAACTTGTACGTCAGAAAAGTAGAAAATGATTTCCGAAGCGCGCCAAGCGTTGTCCAAAATTTATAGTTCTAAGATGTGAAATGGGATTAAGTATTTTTTTGCTTTCCCATTCGTGTAAACTAGTGTGAAGAAAAATGCATGCAGGTCTCAATATCCGATTTTAATTCTCCACGTTGCACAATACGCATGCAAATCTGCTGCCCCAGAGATCATTTAAAACAATAAAGAGTTATCGTAGAGTGTGACGCCCAGGGGTACTCAGAAAACTGTTATTATTGCTGGTTGCAAATCGCCCATCGCTTCTGTCAAGATTCGATAAATTATTGAATTCGATTCATCATAATTTCGAATTTTAATTTTCTACACACGTACACATTCTTGTACTGAAAACAACACTTGTATGTTGATAACCGCGCTTAATATTCCTACTGGTGATGGCTACTCGGCCTGCATCAAGGGAATACTGCGCTTCTTATTCATGGATTTTCAATGTAGCGTTAAAATTTCATATCAATTTAGTCTAGTCAAACTTACGGTTGAGATCAGCATGGAATTTACATATTCAAAATAACTTGCGATCTTCTATACAGTTTTTTATTCGTGGAGCCGATGTCTTGGATGCAACTTGTTGCTGGCTCGCGTGACCTTGACGTGTTTCTGAAGGTCATTGCTGCGCGCGACAACGGTAGAAAATTTCGGCGCCGACGCTGGGCTGGCGAGGGCGCGGCGACTCACTTGGCGCTGTTGCATTCCTGCGCGTCGTGTCGGCACCAACGCTGGCAGCAGGCAAAAGAAGCTCCATAGGAACGCTTATTTGGAGGCTTTGGAATCCCAAATTAGCAGCGAGGGGCTCCAGGCTTCATTAATTAGGCAAAGCCGAGGGGCTTTGTTTGAGGCTGTGTCATCCTTATTCTCATGAACTTTTGCAGTCGTGTTATATGGTCCACTAAAGTTTTACTGTTAAACTGATTGCCGCCATAACTCCTCCAATATTTAATCTTACGCCATTATAGGAGAGATGTCATTGCAGCGCTGCTTGGCTCGCGCAGACCTTTGTTCATTTAGAGTTTAGACCAACGCGGCATGACGCTCATAACGATTCCAATTTCAATTCTGGCGACATCCTCCTCGTGATCATCGGTTTAAAAATAGAAACTTTTCACTTTTGACTGCATTTAAAATTTTACCTGTGTTCTCCATACGTTTATATTTATGTAAACATAAGAGCATTCTGATTTATATATATTCCGATATTTTGATACATTCCATGGAATACATTAGTGCCGAAGTTGCAAGTGAAGATCATACATCATTCTTCTCTGACCGCAGCTAAAATGAGCGTCAACGTTATATCAGCCAGATGGTATCTGCGTTATATCAGCCAGATGGTATCTGCGTTATATCAGCCAGATGGTATCAACGTAAGACCTTCATGCACCCAATAAATCAGCTCGCCGTATGCCCGCAGCACCCTCGTCAGGGTGGCTTTGACCCACTATCTTACTTTCTGTCTTGTGTCCTTCACCGATTTTCGGACAAAAGAATTTAAATAATATGAACAGTTTTTGATCGTTATTTAAAATGTGAATTGGCCGTCGTTTTAAAAAATACCTCTAGGTTTTCGCTAGCAACAAGCATCTTCTGTGCTATTCTCAAATGGGGTAGCCGGCTAGTGATTATCAAGATTCTGTTTTTAGCTTCCGTCAGAGCGCCAAATCTTTCACTCCTGGCACCCGAGGCAAGCAGCTTACGCAGGGTTACAAATTAGGGTTGAGTTATCGGCAGCTTATCGACGGCCGGCCATTCTGTTGCCAGCGACATGTTTGCAACGGCACATTGAAGGCTATCGCTGCTTGTATCTATATAATGCTAACTATTATTCTATCTTTCCAGATCAACAACGCGTTTTACTAACTTGAAAGAAACGCTTACCCATGAAATGTATCTCTACACATAATATAGTATAGTATCTTCGGCATTGAAGAATAGGCCTGGATAGGCCTGTCGCCGATTCTTGTACTTTTTCTTGACTAGTACTTGACTAATATGTTTGATATTGCCGTGACTTATCTAAAGCTAATTGCTTTATATTGCTATAAGAAGCTTCACGTGACGCGCGAGTGCGAGGTGCGTGAGGAGTGTCACGTACACGGCTAGTGTCCCACTAATCACGATAATGAACGTCGCCATGTACTGAGAGAAATGGGCGGGTCTGGATGACCCACTTTGATGAGTCAACCGCGTCCGAAAATCGATGCACTTTTTTGACTCACTTGCCCCATTTGTGGGTCATACTGACCCATTAAATTTCAAGCATGACTCACTTGTGGCGTTAAATCGCTCTGACGCTCAGATGCTAACTACATGTATAGTACGACTCTCATCCCTAGCGCCTCGTCTGGTTGAAGCATCGATATTATTTCCGCTTGTTGCGTAAAATCTCGTCGAAAGCCATGCGGGCTTATTAATCTCATATGTTTTTCTTATCAATAAATAAGCAAGAAATTTACCAGGTTTTATCATTTATTGACTTGAAGCGCGTGCGTCGTTTGCTTGAAACGTGATCAAAATTTGTTCTATATGCAAATTTTTTCAGCTACGTCAGATTTTCTGAATTAATTTTGTGCGTGTACGCCATTTGCACCGAAGTGCTCTGACTTCTAAGTGCAGACACCTAAAAATTCATGTACCCAACTTTTCAGAATAAAAAAATGTATCACTACCACTTGCCAAACTTTAGTTCCTCTACTATTCCTACCAATATTGCTACCTATTATTTTGCAGTACCGGTGAGCCCCCTGGCGATGGAACGAGGCAGGAATAAAACCAAGAAGTCCTCGTCTAATTCGTCAATCAACAATTTCCACTCGAAGGTTTGTTCAATTTATTCTCACAGCAGACGAACCAAAGTATAGTTATCCTAGTTGTAAATACGAGCATGAATTGGATGTTCCTAGCAAACTTTCTTGGGACATTCGATTATTTTCGTGTTAATTCCTTTTATTGATGTGATCTTATACATACAAATAATGAAAATAAATCAATAATATTCAGTAGACAGGTTATTCCTCAGCCATCGACGATAATCATACCACTCAATGCTTAACCCTCTACCGACTGACATGAGGAACCGGAGCAATATTGTCACAAGCCTACTTCCCAAAAAGGATACGTTATAGTGAGCAATATTGTCACGCGCCTACTTCCCAAAAAAATACGTTCTAGTGAGCAATATTGCCACAAGCCTACTTCCCGAAAAGGATACGTTCTAGTGAGTGCAAAATGACTTGCACTGATGGTTGCCGCTATGTACAACTTTAAAATTTTCTCTGTTGCGTACAAACGTCCTTAGGTTGCTACACTCAATAGTTTACGTATAATTTAAGTTGAAAGTTATGTTCCCGGAGAGTGACATACGGCGATATAGAGGTACCTGATAACGCCTCGCTCACGCGCTTCATTCAACGATTCAGTTTATAGTGCGGTCTCTCAATCCATTAAGTTGCAACTGGTTCAAATTTTTGACGAAAAATATTATTAGCCAGTTTCAGGTATGAATATTTTATATTGAGCGTATTATACTTTATAATCAAGCCTATTTCCCGGCTCTTCTGGGCTATTTATTATTCGCACGGTGTTGTTAATGTAGAAAAACGTCAAATTGTTCAGCTTTCTACTTAATTCTATGAATTTATATCCTATTTATATGTGCAGGTGATCGACAAACTCAAGAACGTGCTGCACATCAAAGACTCAGAGGACACCCAGGACTCGGCTGACGCTCAGACGCCCCAGCTCTACGGGGAGCCGCAGGCCTCGTCCCCTCGGTTGGAGGAGGAAGTGACCAGGATGAACAGAAGATTATCTCGCCCCACCTCCCGCACCTCGAGAAGTTCGTCCGATTTTCCCAACATTGCCGAGGAGACGGTGGACTGCAATGGCGTGGTGGTGGTGGCGTAGCCTACGTAGTGCAGAGACACCTTCCCACCGCGCCCTCTGTACCTTCCCACCACGCCACATGCGTTTGTAAAATTCGCGGCTCGTTTTTAGTTCTCTTCAGGCTGTCTTTGTGATGCACTTGGTCGTCTGTCGCCCCATGCGGCGTTGCTCGCTGCTTTATGTCGCTCTGTTCAGTTCCCATGTTTTGCTCAGGTTTTTATGTTTTGCTGGAAGGTTATTCTGTTCTGTTGCGATGTCGCTCGTCACGAGGCTGCGGTACTGTTCATCGGAATTTTTTTATTGGGCGCGGTGCGGATCTGCTCATCAAGTTTCCTTAAATTCTTATTTTATATAAAAATATAAAATGTTATACGTATGACCCACTAACTACGGTTATTTGTGTGCTCATGATTGAAAGGCGTGATAGGTATTTAAAACATAATTTATTCGTTCTCAACATTCGAATGTGAAACTTGTTGTCAAAACTCAAATCACCTTGTGCAGCTGATCTTTGTTTATATAGAAGCAGTATTAAAACAATATCTTCTCTTTAATTATGTGCAGATTTTGAATCTCTGCTGCACTTTAAAAATTATTACCAAACCATTTCCTGAAATTTTGTGCTTGTTGTGGTCCATGCTAGGCTAGGAATTCCGAAATGTATTATTAAGCAACATAAAGTAGTAAAGCATTTGTGATTCAACAATGAAATCGCACGTCATCCAAATATGTAACATTTACATAATTGAATCTGTCAAGAGTTCAGCGATATGAAATGTTAATTGATGCATCACGTACAATAAGGCTTCGTTACTTAACTTAATTTGTTTTAGGGGTCCGCCAGAATTATTATCCATGTACCGTGTGTGCCGTGTAACTAGCAGTACTGCACTGCCCACTTTGTCTAGACGTCTCCACAGGTAACTTTTGGCCGTGGGATGACACATTCTGATGAGGAATAATGCTGTTTCAATTCAAAGCAAATTCATTTACCTGCTATACAGCAAGGCCTAGTTAGATTCTGGGCCAATACTTTCAAAAAAGTTAAGAGATCGTAAGTTCATCAGCCAATCATTGACGGCCTTTCAAGCCAAATCCACCAATCATGGACAAGAAAATAGAGCGTAAGTACTTGCGTTCACTTAGCGAGTTTTGAAAGTATGGCCCCTGGTCTGCCATGAACGCTTGTGTGCAATTTCGTAATATTTGTGTAGTTTGGCATTTTCGTAATAGTAACTTACCAACCATCTTTTCTGAGTATCTCAGCGCATTAGAAGAACTGAGAAGATGAGAAGAAAGAAGTCTTATTACGTAGCTTGTCACTAGAGTAACAGTGGGACCCCTGCCTCTCTGAAGCGGGCACCTGTGATATGGGGTAATTTGCTGCAGAAGTTCCCTCTGATCTGATGACAGCCCCTCGCTCCTTACATGTGCATCGTAATGTCGTACCTGCAATTAATCATAGTAACTTGTCTTCAAAAATCAGATTTCTATTGTATGCTTAATATTACCATAAAGTCAAGCTCTTTTCTCTTTTACAGTATCCATCAAAAAGGATACCATATTCAATAATAATTATATTAGACCGTTTCTTTTTTTTAGTATATACGGTACTTGTTAGATCTTTTGATGAATTTCTATTGTTATGTAATCTGTGTTCAAAGAAATTTATTTCGCAATTATTCATCTTTGAATCTAAGATTTTAATCGTATTTGTTTAGAGTAGGAGGAGGGGTGCAATACCGTTCCCTTCTCTCGATAAAATTTGAGTGTCTTTAGGTTATAATGCAAGGGACGATGCCACTACACTTCGCTGCATCCGACGGTCTTTTACTTCCGAATGCCTGATGAATAGCATCTTTAAGAAAAATGGGTTATGGATACGGAATGCATAAATTCGAAATTTTACGAGTCAACAATTGAATAACACTAGCGCACACAATATTTGTTTAAATTTTGTCTTATTTGTACAATCCAACACAATGACGCGTAAAACTATGGTAGTGCATCACTTGGAGTTGTCACCGTGATTGTTGACACAAATGTCTCGCTATGGGAACATTCAATTCGTGTCTGCAATTGTTCTGTTGTCTAAGCTGCAACACTTGTCAGTTGTCACACAGTGGGTGGCGAGCTCGTGTGATAGATGACTAAAAATTTGCTTACTTTTCAGCCTAAACTAAAGTTGAGCACATGTCTACAGACTCGTTGACTTGACCACTGATCGCGTCGTCATGACTGGGAGATGCACACGAGATACAATTTAATGGAACTATACATTTTCTTTATTAACTTGGGAATTGAAGGGGTACTGCAATGAATAATTATCTATTGATCTATCATGTCCGTGCGTATGGAAGGCGAATATTGCGAGGCTAGTGTATTATATCCTCACTGCTGTATATACATAGCTTGTAACCCATATCAGATATTTTTATTCTTGCATTTACGGTTCATCATGGTTCATGCTCATTTGTTACATTGATCGATTCATACTTACGTGTTTGGCCCATTGTATTCTTTGAAAATGTGATTTTTTTTATCTTGTCTAACACTTGATTTTAGAACAATGCTAATTGAAAGGTGCGATAAGAAATTTCTTGGAACTTGTCCAGCGAATTTCATTTTTTGTTTCTTCTCTCATTTGAATTTTAGAACATCTGCGAATTCAGTTCTTTACTCCTCAGTTTACGTTACATTATGGTTCGAAATTTCCTAATTTCGTTTGTCAGATTGGTACCGAGTGGCTAAATTGGCATCTTGTTTCAGAGCCCAAGACGACACTTTGTTCAAAGCCCAAGTTGTAGCCGAACAGCTAGTATGGTTAAGTTCTGAATTGTTTGATGTGACGGTAGTGCCTTTGGCTCGGTGAAATGACATCGCAGCAGTGTGGCAATTTCATCACATTTTCATCCGAATGCTCATGGCCAAGTTTTTCCACTCCATCCTATTTTACGTGTGGAATCAATTAGAATAGCGTGGTACAACGTAACATTTGTAATGCATTGTACCTGCAAATTACGTAGAGAACATATTAGTCATTTATATTATCAGTGCTATAAACAAGTCTATTTCTGCAGAGTTATCGTCAGCGAACAAATGGTGAATAAAAACGGCAGGTCAAAGCTGAATTTTTATATACGGATGAAAAATGTATTAACTTACAGACAGCGTGAATACATTTATAGAATTTAACTGTGGTTTGTTATTTGCCTTCCTCGATCGCTCAAAATCATCTTTTCGTGAAACTTGCGATATAATTTTTGCAAGAGAAGGTTGCCACAGCAGTCGCATAACACACTAGCGTCAACATTCAGCTTGCGCGAGCACGGCGAGAAGCTCTGCACCTGGCCCGTGTGAAGACGGCGAGAAGCTTTGCACCTGGCCCGTGTGAAGATGGTGGCAAGTCCTGCACCTGGCCCGTGTGAAGACGGCGAGAAGACGGCGAGAAGCTTTGCACCTGGGCCGTGTGAAGATGGTGGCAAGTCCGGCACCTGGCCCGTGTGAAGACGGCGAGAAGCTTTGCACCTGGCCCGTGTGAAGATGGTGGCAAGTCCTGCGCCTGGCCCGTGTGATGATGATATGAAGCTCTGCGATGGCCGTGTAGACATGGTGGCAAGTTCTGCGCTGTTGTGCCCATCACAGAACAGGTCACTGACGCTTCTCTATGGCTATGCCGCCATCGCCGACAATGGTTCTGGCGTACTGGAGTCTGACCGCCGCTTGAAGCTCTCGGACGGCGCGCTCCCCTTCCTCCACCTAAAAACACAGGTTGTTTACCGTCCCATGATATAACTTCACAATTGTGTCCACGACCACAACGTGATATGGTGCATAATCACTTCATCTCTCGCTATTGACAAGTTATTTTTTGGTTTAACTTTTCCGCTTCTGCATACAAGTACAAGTTCCGCTTCTGCATACAAGTACAAGTTCGGCTTCTGCATTCAAGTGTATTTGTAATATCTGCATTATTATTATTGCGACACGATTTAGAATTAGGTAGTGAATTACTTATGGAAGAACTAATCGAATAATCTACAATATCAATAATTTCTGGTATTAAATTTATTACCAGCGGGAAGGTAATAAAATGTCAATGTTAATCATAATTCTCAAGATGAATCACCTGAATCTTGACGGCCTGCACGGCCGCGGCGACAGCAAGCGCCTCGAGCTCCGCCCCCGCCATGTGGGCCGCCACCTCAGCGGTGGCCGCGGCCTGCGCCGCTACGCTCAGCAACGTACGGCAGTCCTGCGTGACAAACGGCCTAAATATTATAATGCCATGCTCAACTGCTTTCATCCTTGATAGCAGGTGCAAAATATCTACAAAATGAAAAAGACTTCGTGTTTATATGCAGTATAATCCTTGTAGCTCTTTAAATATACACAAAGGAGCTACACACCACGCATTTAGAGGAGTGTTGTTGGTCGCACCCTGTATTTGTTGTGGTAGTTTTGCTCCTGAGCTCTGGCGCGCACTAGGGCGTCTGTGAGCTGCTCTTGCATGGGCCCCACGCTGATGCCTTGCTGCCCCAAGCTTTCCTGATACTGAAGCAGCTGCAGTACCTGAACCAGGCTCTCCCTGCAACATGTTAGCAGGTGCAAATTTGCTGAAACTACAGATGCAGGGCTTACAACAAACTTCTCAAGCAACCACAAGCTGTTATAAAATTTCTTCAAACACAGAAGTAGCAGTACCTGTACCAGGCTTTTTCTGCAACTGGTAAACTGGTGTGTTAGCAGTTGCGTTTTAATATTGAGAGTTACAAAAGCTCAGAATCGCCACTACCAGCTGCTGGATGGTTAATACCTTTTAAAGCTTACAATTGCATGTTTAGAAACAATAATCCCAAATGTACAATATTGAAAGAAAAATATTCAATTCAATCCAGTAATATTACAACTTTATGAAAGGAATCCTACAGTAATTATGCTGCCAGGCATTAACAGTGCAGCCCAAAAAATTCTAGTGAACAGTGAATAAATGAGCAGCTACAATAATGATGGTCAATGGTATGGCAACTAAAATTTCGAGGAGCCCAGTAAATTCTTCATTCAACAGAATATTGAACAAGAGATCACTAAAAACCTGTAAGCATCCATGATAGCCAGAAGGGCCCTGCTGGTCCTGAGAACAAGCAGCAAGGCAGACTCCACAGCAACAGCCGCAGACTGCAACACCAGGTGCTGGTGAGTTAGTGACTGAGCATCGTCCAGCTGTAAAGAATGAATATTGCTATCATGTTCATTGTGGTCAGATAATTAGTGAAGAGAGGATAATTTGTTCTTTTACCAATGTACCTATTAGGGATTTTGTAAAAATATATTTTTCATGTATCTCTTAACATGGAAGTTTTCATTTTGTCATACAGTTTATAAATTGTAATGCAAACTGATTAAAAAACATGGGATTGTTCCTAAGACTCAAATTAATTTGTAGCAAGTTGCACTATTTTATATATTCACATACAGTATTTTTTTTTATCCAGTCTAGACAAGAGAAATCTCCAAAAAATCTACCATACAAGTTGTGACATAATTTTTTCAAGAATCGACTATCAAGTAGTTCATGCAAAGGATACCAAAATGAAGTGTTGTAGAGCAGCTTCACTCTTTATTTACTAAGATGAAAAAGTGTGAAGATAATTAGAGGTATGATGTGAGTAGCAGGATATTCAAAAATCATGATATGGATGGAAATATGCCTTGTGAGTATTATAGCTTAATGGTGCAAAATATTTTAGCTCAATATATAAAAACTGTTAAAATTTGTAGATTACTTTTTAGTCTTTACCCATTGTCAAAGGTGATCAAATTCTTGCTCACCTCAATAGGCCCTGAAACTTGAAGCTCATCTATTAACACAGGATCAAAAATATTAGGTTTGTTGTGCTCAATGCTCAGCTCTTCTTCCTCTGTGTTAGTTAGAGAATCTTCACATCCAGAGGAATTTTCATCTTTTGAGTCTTCTCTTGGCTCTTGCACTTGATTATTGCAGTTATAGTTATTAACATCCTTATTTTTACTACATCCATTTTTATAATTTTGGAATGGAAAATTAGGTGTGTGGAACCCCATTTCATAATTGTTTTCTTCATTTTCTCCTGGTAATTCTGACTCACTTCCACCATCATTTGCACTAACCTTACAATCAGTTGTACAGTACAAAGATATGAATGAAAACAGGGATAATTTAACAAGCAGAGAGAGTAATTTTGATGGTCTCAAGGTTTCACCAGGAGTAAAATCTCTATTTCTTGACTGAGGGAATAGTATCAATGAAGCTTTAGCACATGTTGAACTGTCAGTTGAGAAGTATATGATTGAAGAGACAATGTTCTTCATGGCACAAATCTTGGGTATAAGGGCTCTAGCTTTATGAACATGGCATTCTTCAAGATATTGAGCTCCTCTAATTACTGGAGGTGAGGAACTACTAGCAAGGAGAATTGGTTTGATATCAGCTCTCCTGGTGCTGCATATTGCACTAGAATAGTTTTTCAAATCACAAATGTTCATAAAAACTCCCCAAAAAACTGAAGGCTTATTTCTAAATTTATTCAAACGTTGAGGTATCATGATAGCATTTTTACACTTTTTCACTGTGAATACAAACCCTGAAAGAAAAATTTAATTCATGAATTGAAGATCTGCCATGAAAAAAGAAGACTTAGACCTGTAAGGCTGTAACTAGCCAATCTTAAAATAAGATAATGGTAAATACGTATGAAATTAATTTAGTTTTTGAATTTTGAATGCTTTAGAAATCAACCAAATGATTTATGGTTATGGCCATAGGTACCTCACCATATGTGTGATTGTGAACATGCTGTATAAAACTTCTAAGAATTACTCCAACAGTGTGATGCAGCTAACAGACACCATCTTCCTGATATTGTTTTCAAAACATAAGTATTTTGAATGGTATGTTACCTCCATCTCATGATCTCCATGGCTACATTAGGCCTACTCTTTTATTTCCCCTCAAAACTGCTCAATCGGTTCTGCCCCAGTCCCACCCTCACAGCACCATGTAGTGTATAAGCTAGCTATCAGTAACACATATAAATTGTATATTGTAATCAATATATAACAAATAGTCAAATACTAGTTAAAGACTACTTATAGCCTTATAAGAATTAGCTAAGCTGCTAGCTATGTACAAATACAGTACAATCAATGTACCTATTGCAACACTTGAGTTGTAGGTATTGCAATCAATGTATTGCAACACTCTGCCCTCTGTACCAAAAACATTCAATTTATTGGAACCTAATACACACTAAAGGCAACAAGTTTATATACCATAGGCCTAACCAATTTGTCATTCATATTTCATACTCATAGTACATTCATACCTACTAAACCATGAATAACAATAGGCTACCTCAGTCCTCAAAATAAATTTAAGACTGCCAGAGGGCAGAGTGCCGCTCAATATATTTAAATATATAAAAAATGAAAAAAATCATGATTTTTTATAAAAAAATCACGATTTTTTATTAAAAAAATCAAGTGATTTAATCACATGATTTACTAATCATTTTGATTTAATCATTGTCAACCCTGTGGCTAAGTTTGCTGACAAAATAGATAGTGAAGTAGGTAGCCGGCAAAATAAGTGATGTGGCGAAGTTTTGGCATTGACGCATTTGACGGTAGAATAGTACATTTATACGCGGAAGATGAAAATAAATTTAAACTCATTTTTGCGGTAGAAAGATATTGTGGCCCTTACTAGACTGATGTGGCGAAGTTTTTGGCATTGGCAGCAGAATATTTATACGTGGAAATCCAAATAAATTTAAACTCATTTCTGCGGTGTTAACTGTTAAGATGATGTGGTCCTTGCAAGGCTAAGGCATATATTAAAAGTCAATCCCATGAATATATCACAACTTTTGAATGCGTAGAAAAACTATATTGAATATCATAACTTGGAGAGGAGTGGTTAATATATTTATTCGAAGTGAAATTTTGTAGTGACCCACACCAAAAGGCTGAATCATGAATGTATGTATCGAGAAACAGCCCAGTAACCTCAAAAATTAGTGCTGTATTTACAACTCATTAGAAGTGAAAACTATACTGGATTATACACGCGCTCATCTCTGCCATCCAAGGTTAATAATACAAGTTAGGCGGCACTCACATAACATAACAAATTAACAAGGTGCTTGTACACGGAAATAGAGCAGACGTATAGCAAATCTGGCAAGTGTCGGTCGCTTGGTGACTATCCGGCAAGTAAGCCTGTGAACGGGTGGATAGCTAGAGGTCAGCATAGCCCAAGTCCACAGTGCGATTCATATACCTTTCCGAGCGTAACGCAGCTGGGCATCTTCACGTTCACGGCTTTTGACACAAAGCGCCCACCAGCACCACAACAGCGCCGTTCAGTCACAGGCCGCAGCGCATACAGGCCGGAGCACAACTGACCCAACGTAACTTAACCTAACCTAACCTGTGCCGCCTGTTGCGGTAGGGCCTGTTGCGCTCCGGCCAGTTGTGCTCTGGCGCTGTAAAGCAGTGGCTGAGTTGTGCACAGTGGATTTACTGTTAGCCGGAGTTACCAACAGCTCATTGATCTGAGGGCTGAGGCTATGTGTAGATATTGCATGCTGATGGTTGGCGTTAGGCCCAGGGCCTGTTTACGAGTCAATTTTATTACCCACGGCTGCGCTCCCCCTGTGAACTAGGAGAGTATTTTGTACACATGGAACAGGGATGGTACCAAACTTTGAGAGCGAGACCCTCAGGAATCAGGATTGAGACATATTACAACAAGAGAAGGGGAGACTGTGCAAGATCCTCCCATTACCGCATTACGTAACATATTCGCAGTCAGATTTCAATCCCTGTGGTAAGGATCACTTTCCATGGCAGGGCCAAGGCTGTTCAACGCCTTAACAAAGGATCTAAGAGAGGGGGAATTCACCCTGGAGACCTTCAAGAGACAACTGGACGTTTTCATGGGCACAGGAAAACGTCCAGATCGACCTCCCCTGCAACACTACGCGAGAAGCAAGCAACAGCATCGTGCATGAGGTGACCCAAATGTCAAATGAGGGCGGATGAACGATAACCAGAGGCGGCGATCGGTAATACTTTAGATTAAGTGTATCCAAAAAAGGGTGTTTTTTTTAATTACGTTTACGTTTTTGGGGTGTAGATTAAGAATCTGAAGTCCGTTTTTGGCGGTCGGCATCAGAAATTTTTAATGGAACCTGTTCCTAACTGGACCGAACCTGCGAGGTTTTCGTTGAATGGCTGGGTCTTTCCCCGGCCGGCTGCCGGACGGACTCCAAACATAGAAAAAACCTATTGGTTAGGTTTTCCGGCCGCCGGACGGACTCCAGCATAGAAAAAACCTAGCCGATCAACGAAAACCTTGCAGGCTAGGTCTAGTTAGGAACAGGTTCCATTAAAAATTTCCGATGCCGACCGCCAAAATCGGATTTCAGATTCTTAATCTACACCCCAAAAAACATATAATTAAAAAAACACCCTTTTTTGGATGCACTTAATCTAAAGTAATACCCGGCGATCCATCATGGCCTGGGACTTCTACGTCCCAAACAGGTACCAAGATTACCAAGAAAGCTAAGGTGCCGCTATCTTCTCGTTCGCGCCCGCCAGTGCGTCGTTAGAAGCCGTCGAGTGAGGTCTGCGAAGATCGATAGTGGGATTACCTTTAATTAACAGGCTCGAGTCTGTAGGTCGTTTTTATACTCGTTATTCTAGCCCTTAAAAATGCAACGTCGGGAGCAACTAAACCCTGACTAATAGGGTCTTCTTTAAGTTTCAAAATATTCGTTTCTCTCTTCATATCGTTGGTGTAACCTACTTATAAAAATACTCAATAATAAAATAGCATGGCGAACATTCCACATTAATTAATATATTATAATATCCCAGAGAGCAATTGAATATCGACTGGACTCCACTTTGTTGGGGTTCTTCTTAGAACCCTTAACGTTCAAACCTGCCATGATTCATTTGACCCAAAATGCTTCACAAGAGCGGCACAACCACTCTCACCAGGGCTGCATCAGCGCTACTGAGTACTGACCGCTTCTCCACCGAAGAAAACAACACATTGTTGTTCCTCTCGGCCACGTCTCGGGCACATGCCTCTGTAGTGGCTGAACCCCTATACACGAGAACAGTATAGCGTGTACAGTTCAAGCGGCGGATGAACTGGCGGCCAGTACTGTCCCTGTGTACAGGCACCTATACACGAGGCTAGTAGCGTGGACAGTTCAAGCGGCGGATGAACTGGCGGCCAGTACTGTCCCTGTGTACAGGCACCTTTAGTCACGCCATGAACTACTTCAGTATCGGCCCCCATTATGACGGAAAAGCAGGCCCTGCCGTGACTGCCGTGGCAGCACACGCGCATGGACAGAAAAAAATAATAATAATAGAAAAAAATATAATACACCACCAAAAACTTTAAATAGATGTAGGTATTACAAACAAGGCCCACAGAAAAGAAATTATCGAACGTCAAGTCTTTTCAATTGTCAGGGAAAACGATCAATTTAGCATCGAATAGGACTCAAAACATTCAGAGTTCGTTATTTCAATAGTCTTGTAAGTCAAATTCGACTATGTAAATCCTTACGAACAAGAAGGGGTAAAAATGTAAAACTAAATTGTCGCTAATGTGCCATAAGCATTTAAAACCATGTATTTAATATCATAAATATTGGTTACTATACTATCATAATTCATAATTGAAGGAATAAAGCGTTCCAGAGTGGCTGAATGTGCCCGTTTGCACCCGTTTTATTCGCAAAGGAGGTATAGTATAAATGTAAAAAGAAGTGTCGCCAATGCGCCATAAGCATGTAAACCACGTATTTTATTTCATAATTATTGGTTACGATTTGAGGGGATAAAGCGTTCCCGAGTATATGGAATTAACAGTTTCATTCAGGGCCGGGTGGTCGGAGAAGTGTCGGTTCGGTCGCTAACGCTCGCTCGTTTGTGTCCGACCGGTCATGATTGACTAATTTTCTTACGTCTTCAAAGTTCTTTGCATTTTGCAATAATTTCAGAAATTTATCAAGTAATTATAAACTCGTAAAATAGAAAATTATCCTAAAATAGAATCGTTCATGTTTTTGAGTAAAGCACTCTATCTAAAAAAACACGTTCAAAACTCGTCCTAACGGAGATGAATACGATCAAACGAGGTAATTGTGCGTCTCGGCCTCCGCGAGTCGCGCGCTCGCGCCAGTTCATCACATTCACAGCGCGAGTTACACTGATTGGTAGACCGACGAGTGGATGACCAGACGACTGAGACGAGTTTTGTCTTCTAAAATTAAAAGGTAATAGCTAAAATCAATTGTTAGCACTTGGAGGATCATAAGCGAAATTTTTGGCTCTGACTCTACTGACCGTTTGGCATTTTTTTACCACCTTCAAGGCTTCAACCAGTTTCAGCTGCAATTCCTGCAAATACCTTCAAAGTCCTTCATTCGGTCCTTTTGCCTTGAGTCTTGAGATTTGACACCCCACGCTGGTCGTTGACTTGCTGCGACTCCCGTAGGCCGTAGTCCCGTAAGTATTAAGCAATTGTCAAAAATCAAGATGATTGAATAGTTTATAAACTTTATATATAGACTACCTAGTAACCTACCTAATATAGTGTTGGTTTGATTAAACATCTTGAGTAAAGGGCTAGCTCGATTACATTATATTATGACATAGACATTATGACAGCATAGTGATAAACCAAAGATTTTTTAGAATCAGTTCATTTTTAATTTTCTTTACATAGCTTTAAACCAATTTCTTAAGCTTGAAAATACTGGTATCCAGTATAGGTACCTACTTTATTGGTCTACTTATGTCTTATAGGACTCAAAAATGAACTTGAGAAGTTGAGAGAGAGTCTGAAAAATTCTCTGCTTTGCCACTATGCCGGGCAGTGTCCCGCGGTGATGATGATGATAGCCTATCAGTCACATTACTCACATATGCAGCTAGGCTATGCTGATTTGCACCTTCAATTTTGAAAGGTGCAAATGTATTTTTAATGATACTAGGTACAAACTGTTTGAGCATTTTTTTTACTGCTAATGCAAGGCAAGGTTATTGTTATTGGCTTTAAGACAAATACGATGCTCACTCATTGTAAAATTGTACCATGTACGTATAGCTAGGCTAGGCTATAGCCGCTATATGAGCATCATAATCTATTATTGGCACAAAGTGGTTTTTGGTAAACCATAGATTTTTAGAAGCACTTTATTTTTAATTTCATTTAGGCCTACTCAAAATTTTAATCAATTTCTTATGTAGGATACCTATTACCTAACCAGACAGAATATATTGGATATTGGGCAGAAGTCAACTGTGGATGAGCAAAAATCACCCGTGTACGTGGGACAATTTCACCTGTGGGCTGTGGGCCCATCATCCCATGGCCATCTGCCATAGTTAATTTCACCCGTGTCCATGGATAATTTCATCCGTGGCTATGGATAACTTGCCCCATGCCATGGACATGGATAATTTTACCCTTGCCCGTAGAGCTACGATTTCATAGAGCTACGTCCTACCTGTAATAGTTCATTACACCATTTACACGTAAGGTTGAACTGCGGTTGTCATTCCTTGAACGTTCCTTGAACTGCATTCGTCATTTGTGAACAGCAAGCTCCATCTGCAAAAATGAGCTTGTCATGAGTCAACCTTTTACAAGTTCAACCATCATACATTCATACCATGAATGGTCTGCCTACAGCTAACTTAACTGAACTACAATGCAATGAGCAATAGTATTGAATATTGATAGCAATGAAAATGGAATTCTTCAGCATTCAAAGACACAAATAAAACAAATTGGAGGTTAAACACATACAGTATACACATAAAGGAGACGTGGTTTTTAAAAGTATTCTTTAGTTTTTTTATTTCACTATTTTTAGTTTTGTAAAAACCAGAAAAACATGCTTTTTAAAATTATTTTTTATATATATTTATTTTCTACTTTTTAGTTAGCAATTCAAATCAATTGGTAATTCAAATCAATTCAAATCAAAGGGTTGGCAAGTGTGGATGTTCAAGAAAAAACTTAATTCCAAACCATGAATTTTTAGTGTTTTTTTTTATTTTTTTTTTAATTATTATTTCTGATGATCAAATCTTGAATTGTTAGGCAGCATAAGCATGCATGCCAAATTTCAAGTTTTTAGGATCTTCAGAAGTGCTCTAAATTAAGATTTGAATTTTTGATGATAGACAGACAGACAGACACAAAGCGAAACTAAGAAAAACATTGTAAAATGTTGCATATCATGAGTGCACTGTTGATAGTACAGGTTGGACTATAATTCACGTACTTTCTGAGATGTGACTGAATTTTCTGAGCAGCAACTGCAAGGAAAAATTTCTCAGCCATGAATATACCTTCTGTGCTGTGAATCTTGATTGTAGCAATTTATTTTTTCTATAGATTCCAGACTCAATCAAAATGAATAATTTTATAGAAAAAAAATTGAGATAAGAAGTCATCCTAACTGGCTTCTATAAGCACCAAACCAAATATTTCATAGATCACTCTATTGATACCTATTATGGTATCACTCTATTATTATATTATATGATTACTGCATCATCACCTACTAAAACAACAAACATTACATTAGATTTATTTCAAACGATCATCATTTTTTCTAATAGGTACAATATCTCCTGTTTTGCATAATTATTTTTTTTTGTGCAGAAGACATGGCTACTTGTGCTTCTGATCTGATTCCCAAGTTATTCATACTGGCAACCATCATTGGCATCATATCCTGCAAAACATGTCCTGACAATACAACTGAGTAAGAACATGACTTATTTGTTATATAGCTTAAGTATTTCTTTATGAGTAATAGATGATGACTTTTTATTAATAATATAAGAACTTTAGATAGGTAATATTACAATAATGTGATATGTTTGTAGGGACCTAAGATATATCAGTATTGGAAGCATGAAGCCATGCACATAATAGAATTTTGATTGGTGCTTAATAATTACTGTCCTGAAGAATCCCAACTCTGTGATATTGCCCAGCTGTTTTTTTTTATTGATCATTGTATATGGATGGTGATTGTGCAGTGTATTTTTATTGTTGTGTGTATTTTTGTTACAGTATTTTTCTTCTAATTTGTTTCTCTAGTTGTCGGGATAACAATACCTGCTGTCCGCTCCTGAGAACCCCTCATTTTGCATGCTGTCCCTATGCAAATGGGGTGTGCTGCTCTGACCATGTTCATTGCTGTCCAGGAGGTGAGTACTTGATCCTACTTCTTCACATTTCTATTACAATGCAATGTCCAAATATTATAATTCACTTCTGGCATTTTATAAACATTTGGAACAACAGTCATCTCAAGAAGGGATAACACAGCTAATCCACATTCATAGGATGGATGATGTATCATTTAACCAAATAATCTAGTCATGGCCATTTCAATTCACCTGTAAAATGATATTATTCTACAACCCTCATTATAAGTGAGGTCAATGGCCGAATTCTTTTATTTGAGAGAAATTGCAAAGTAAATTAATTATATGAGTCTGTAGCATTATAATAATATTCTTTGTAATGCATTCTTTCAAACTGATGTCCTATTGATTTTTTTCACCTGCTAACTTTTTTGTAAGGTGGAGGAGCTGTTTCCACTTTCTTCCATATTCTGAGGAGTTAGTTGCTTATCTGTAGTGCATGGTGAAAGCTAGCTTTCTAGGTGAGCCAATGAATACAGATGTGAAGATGATTATTGAATAAGGATATGCTTATAAATGAAATATATGTGTGGATTATTGAAGAAATTCTTGATATCAAGAGTGACCTGCATATGTTGAAAGTGGAAGAGGAAATCTGCATTACAAATGTAGGAAATGTTAACATTAAGTCTGGTTAATGAATGTTTGAAGTTGAAGAGAAAAAATTAAGTAGAGTTTGCCAAATGCCACTGGATGCAGGAAATGTTGTTGATGGTATGAGAACAATAGAAAATTACTAAGAGAGTCTAATCAAAGTGTTGGTAACTACCATGGAATAATTTTAAAGGGAGATCTGAACAATAAAATCAGTTGGCCAGCAACAGATGGAAATTAATATCATGATTTGAGCAGCCATTCTGTGCGTGATCTTTACAGAATGAATGAATTCTTAGTGAATAAATGAAGATGTGGATATGAATGGTATTACTTCTTAAGGAGTACAAAAGGATACATGGGCTAGAAGTAGCTAGAGTCAGAAAAATAATGGGAGTAGATTGTTTCTGTGATCGAGTTGTTAATGCCAAGTGGCAAAGTTGTGACATAAGAGCAAATCTATGAGTGGGATAGATAATGAAAGTGCAAGGAAGGAAGGTGATCAACAAAGCTGTTTATGATTTTCTTGCTGCATTAATAATTAAAATGAATGTTCCTCTCTTATCCTCCTTGATTGGTAAAGACCATATAAAGAATAAAGAGAGGGAAAAATATAACTGGGTGTCTTTTGGTTAAATTAATCTTGAAAGCTACACATTAGGGTTGCATTTTAACTTCATACAAAAGTATTAAATGATCAATTAAAAAGGCATTTCAGCTCAGAACCTGTTGATATAGCATGATCACCATTAGTTCTTGCATACAATGTTTTAAAAGATCAAATAATCTAAATTTGTTGGTTTTTCACTGATAAAATTGGTGGCTTATGTTTAATCTATGAGGGTTGTGCTTTCACACTGGTTCAATTTATTATATTTTTTAAATAAATTCTGATATTTAGGTTTTTGGACAACAAAACTTGCATGCATTTGAGCAACATTGAACGGTCATCAGTCAAGTGAAATAACTATAGACTATGACATATAACTTTACTACAACTAAATATTAGTGAGGAAATACATACATTTCGAACTCAAAATTTAATCTCTATTATCAAAAGGAAACAATTTACAATTCACAGGTATTATCACTTTCAATGATATATGAGATGTTAATATTTGGCTCTTCAATGGAAAAGATGAGCTATCCTATCAAAATAGACTTGTATTTCAAAATTTTTAAAAATTCTGATGAAAATTTAATTTGTTAATAGAAGAGCAGCAATTGATTAACTGCAGTGTTCTTTTATGGGAAGAAAGACTCATTTTAGTTTCTTTGCCCTATCAGACATTAATATTTAATATAACTGTAGTTGATGTCATCATAATGAAAATTATTGTCAGAGCATGCTTATTTTCCATCAGATTGTCAGAAAACTCATTATTTAAATGTTTAGAGTTACCAAATGAAATACACCTTATACTTGTGGAAAGATTATTGCATTAAAATGCAATCAATATAATGAAGTGGGCACCATCCACACATTTAATATGTACGTACATAAATGTGAAAAATCCTCTCAAGGGAACTGCTTACTTTATTTGAAAAAGTTTTCACCGTCTCTTACCTAGGAAATAATCAGTACCTCAGTGAAATATTTTTAGCCAATATTTTTCATACAGGCACTACATGTGACCTGGACGATGGCACCTGCAATGCCAAGGCCGTCACCAGCATCCTGGCTGTCATGCAGTACCTCATGCAAACCTCTCTGTCGACCATTCCTCTCACGTCTTTGACTCCAGGTATTGAATAGGTTATTTTGCTTGAACTTGAAAAATTGAATGAAAGAAAGAGAATCGAAAGAAGAAAAGAATCTCTTGTCTTTATTTTCTGTTTATGCAAATAGCTTCTTTCAAAAAGGCAATCATGATTATTGTTCAAGTGACTTGAGTTTTGTTTTTGTCTACAGATTATTTTGAAAATAACAGTGACTGTATGCATTGGATGTATTCTGGACTGTATGCACTGGATGTTTTTTTTTTATTATATCAGGACTAAATAATTGCTCTGCTCCATAGTGATCTCTTAAGGGGACCGACTACCCTAAAATTTTCAATTTTGGCGTTTTCCGGTTTTTGAGCTCATCTTAAAGCTTAGTTTTTGACGCATCCAACGGTACCAGAATCATCCCTCTACGTCAAAAAATGATTTCGTAACAGCCCCCCGAAGGGAGGGAGTTTTTAGAGCCCTTAACTGAAGCCTATGGGATTAATTAGAAGGCTAGAACCACGAAAAAGGAACGTCTGACATAAAGCGGCCAATCATGGCATTATCCGGTGCTCATACTCATCTTAAAGCTTACTTTCTGACAATTCCATTGGTGGCAGAATCATCTTTCTACCTCCATTTTTACGTTCACCACGCCCCATGGAACGGGGGGCGGTGGGGGGCGGCCTTAACAAATTCCTAAGGCATTGATTACGGGGCGTGTCTTGATATACTGCCAGATGCAGCCAGGTCTTTCAGTGCCCATCATGACAGCGAGGTGAATGGTGTGCAGCCACTCGCTCTATGCCTTCCTCACTTAGTTTTAAGGCTTGGTTGCGGTATGTTGGCTACGTTACGACTCTTTTACGTCATTTTACGTGCCGCCCGGCAGTTTTTTGGGCGTCCTGAAAACCTCCGATTATTAATTACTGGAAACTGCCACCTATCAAGTCCACAGGTTTAAATCACACTTGAAGAATTTATTATATGCAGTCACTACACAAAATTTTTCTTTATAATTAAAATTTTGGTTATGCAGATAAAAAATTAATAGCATCAAAATTCAATATAGTTTAATTTAATCAAGTTATCTTAAATCATTAAATATATATTGATACTTCTACCTTTAAAAAATGCGGAAAGAGTGCAATATCATCATCCAAGTCGAAACTTTCATTTAAGTGCTCGTATATTAATTTATGGGCATGGCAGTTGGTGATGCTATTGTTATGCTTGGAACGACGGTCAGTCGTATAATTAGTGATTGATTGAGGCATGATAAGGGAGCCTCAAACTCAAACCAGAAGCCGTGGTGGGTCTCTTTGTGAGGCGATTTCAAGTGACCATAAATGATAACTTGCCTGTGAAAGAGTTAATGGTAATTTATCAGGAGTGCAGTCTCTTGATTTAGAATTTTACCATTTTTTTAATTCAAGTTAAGACAAACATAATGATTGCAAAGAGTATCGCGTTCTCTTGCTAATACATCATTTTATCTGTGCTCACTGCTCAGGACAAGCATTGAAGGATATTGCAGCTGATCACCCGAATTCAGTGCTGGAGAGATCCTCCCGCCTCAGTCCGGAGAGCGGCATGTACGCTTCCATCACAGAGGCGCTCAGGAACGGCACCAGCCTCCGTGTTGTGCCCTGTCCAGACCACTCGGTGTGCCCTGATTCCTACACCTGCTGCGCCTTCGCGGACAATACGTACGGGTGCTGCCCTTACTCACAGGTGAGTCAGCTTATAGTGAAGAAATTTGTCAGTCATACGGGTGCTGCTCCTACAGATAGGTGAGTCAGCTTATAGTGAAGAAATTACCAGTCATACGGGTGCTGCTCCTACTCACAAGTGAGTCAGCTTATAGTGAAGAAATTACCAGACATACGGGTGCTGCTCCTACTCACAGGTGAGTCAGCTTATAGTGAAGAAATTACCAGTCATAAAGAATAGAATAGAAGTGTCGGCGCTGAAGAAATAGGCCCATGGCCTGTTGCCGATTCTTGAACTTTTCGTGACTTGATTCACAAGGGATTCGGGGGCCCTTTCCCCGAGATTGGCTAGTGGGACTGAAGCGCAGCATGCCAGTGATGCATTTAGTGTCTCAACTCCCAGATGAAGGTACTGAAGCATCGGATTTTCTTGTCCTCATAGGGGTTTACAAGTTAGGATTCCAACATTTGTATATACTCGGTCTGAATTTTACCATGCGACGTTAGGAAGCAGATATATGATATTTGCACTTAAACCTCGGCATATGTTGGTTAAAGCCTCGAGAACAATTTGTTAGCACCATTGCAAAAAATATTATTATAGATGGAACTGAGCTTTTTTAATTAATGAGTAAAAATGAACTCGACTAAGGTGGCACTTCAATGAAACATATGGTAGTTAAGTTCTCAATCAACATGTCAATAAGGGTAATTATTAGAATCATTAAAATTATAATTTACCATCGTTTTACGGCAAGACAAAAGAGAACAAAATACATGTGAAAATAAAATGGAATTGCCGCCTTATAACATAACATAACATAGTGATGTCGGCGCTGAAGCGTAGGCCTGATGTGGCCTGTCGCCGATTCTTTTCCTTTTCGTTGACGATTTAATCATTGTTGGCGACGATTGAATCATTGTTACCGTAGGCAATGGATGCCCGACTCGTTCATTTGGATTAAAAATACAAAGTAAACTACCTTGTGTGGGAAAAAATCCTGGAACGATCAAGTATTTGATGACCTAGACGATAGGGCTCGCAATGTAAATATTGTACTATTTATTGCTGATCCTGCAGGGAGTGTGCTGCCCTGATCATCTCTCCTGCTGCCCTCACAACTCCGAGTGCACGTCTCATCGCACCTGTAAAATCTCCGTCTGAACGCGACCAACGGCTCATGGCATTGAACATCCAATGGACATCGACCATGATAAACATAGGCTGTAGTTAGGGATTAATTTGGACATTATAATAATGCTGTTGGCGCTGGAGAATAGGCCTTGTGTATCCCGAGCTAAGATGTACTACCAATTTTGAATTGGCATTTCAAGCTTCCTAACTGTAGAGGCCAAATACTGAACGTTTAAACTTTAATTTAAGTTTGTTACTGCCATTGAGTGCCTGTGTTGCAGATGAACGAAGGTTATGAGCAGCAAGTTATCTACCGAGTCTTAATTTCTGCAAAAGGGCGTGCAAGGCGTTGACGGTTGGAGGTATTCAGCAATTCATTTGAATGCTTTACGAGAGTGAAAGTCGATCATCACCCGCAAGGAGAAAATTTGGTTACCGTGTAATGAAAAGCGATATTAGACGAGAAACTAAACTATGCCTTTTTCGTCTGACGCTATTGTGTATCAAACTTGCCACCCTGTTCCTTCGAAGCGGGTAACTTCCGAATACCGTTTACGTACCACACGCATGCTAGTCATTGGTGCTGCTCTGTACATTGCTCGTCTAGAGCATCGTTCAATAATTTCATTTCCGTTGAAGCTCCCAGTAATTTCGACGTTATGAAGTCAGTTTCAACGACGGTGCTGAGCAAGTTAGTTTCCTTAGATCATCAATAATATAGAGCGAGCGCATGACCTTTAACCTTATAATCTGTTCTTGTGCATGTTATTTTAGTTCATGAATTGTTCTGTATTATTTTAAGTGCACTCTCATGTCTACTATGAATCTCATTCTAGAGGAGTCACAATATTAACGAGTTTCACTTCCACTAGAAATAATTCTCATTTTACCAGTGGATGGAATATACTGATCTAGCTCTTACGCAACTACGCTTCATTTGCAAGAGTAAATGGAAAAAGAGTGGAGTATCTACGGATGTGGAGGATTGCATACGCTTATGGGCTAAGGATGAATACGTTTTGCTAACACCTGCTACTTTTTTCTGATAATTGAAAATGATCAATAATAACTCGTTCAGCTATTTACTGGGAAGATTTCTCTTATGGAAGAGCCGCATCTATTGCACTACAGCACCGATATCAATGCATCTTAAATACTTTGATAATGAGGCATGAAATTTTCAACCCAAATTACTAACGCGCATGGAGAAATATTTAATTACGAAAATTTTCTACTACGTATCAGTGTGCAGTACTGAACAATATAATCGTTAGTGGCAGTGGGCGACGTTAATCAGGTCGTACCCTCAACATATTAAGTTTCTCTTTCATAAAATCGTTCTTGTTCGATTCCTAATTTCATCATTCTAACCTTCTTATCCTTTCAAGCGTTGAGAAGGTTAATTGAAAACCATAATGCAAGTCTCGCAATTTATGCCAGCAAGGCTGCTTTCTCTGCCTTTTTGGTCTCTTTCGCCTTGGCCTTCTCGAGCTTCTGCTTGCGGGCCAAAGCCTTGCGTGAGAGAGCGCCACCTCCCCAGCTCCTGCGGATGTCGTCGAAGCGATCGTTGTAGTGGGACTTGATCACATCGATGAGCTTCGCAAGGTTGTTCTTGTCAGCGGACTCGACCTGCAGGAAATGTCGATTTTTTTAGTCAAGTTGCCTACAAATATGGGTTTGATGATCCCTTCATGCATAAAATCAGAATGTCATTTTCTTCATTAATTCAGGTGAAGAAATTGCAGATCATCACGCATGAATTGATTGAGCAAGTTTGCTTGGAATTATGTTATTATTCAATTCTATATCATTGAACTTGTTTCATGAGCGACTAAATGAGGTTTATTTATCCTGGATTTTAATGTAGGAGTTTTCGTAGGTATTCCTTCAGCCTGCGTTGCTACACTAGCAAGGGTCTCACCTCTGTCAGGGCAACCGCAGTGCAGGTCTTCCTACGAACAACAGTTCCAAGTCTTGCCTTGCTCTTCAGGATACAATAAGGAACTCCCATCTTGCGGCACAGGGCGGGCAGGAACAGCACAATCTGAGAGGCAATCAATTAATATGTTTGGCAAAATGTTGCCAGACTCGGCACACTTGAGCAGTTTGGACATTGCATTGGCGCAACACATTTCGTAGTGGAAACATCATAAGTAACTTTGTTAATTTCGCTGAACATCTCACATACTGTATGCGTCCGCAAAAAGAGTCAGAACCTCAAGGGCCACTCGTGTGAATAACGCAATTTAATTTCCGGTGCATTTAAAACCGCGTCACAACTGACGCGGCGGAACTCGCCATAACAGGCGCTGCGTGCACCGGATTTCAATAACGGCAACAAATCGACACATGAAAACAATTTGAAACCTAATGTGAAAAGACGCTTCAGACAACTTATAAGATATCATATTTTGATTGTATGCGCCCGCAAAATGAGTCAGAACCTCCAGGGCCACTCACGTGAAGAACGCTTTTTCATCTCCGATGCATCAAAAACCAACGTTGAACAACGCTGGCGGAACCCGCGAAAGCAGGCGATACACGCACCGGGATTTAATAAAAATTAAGCATCTAGATTAATATTTGAATACCTCCTTTTCATCGAGGGTATATAGTGGTATAAATGCTATGCTGCAAGTTAAAGGGGTAAGAAAATTTCCAGCGCCGACAAACTCAAAAATTTAAAAACAAACTGGGCAGATAAACAGAATTTCTGTAACAAATGCAGCTCTGTTAGACAACCGACAGGCTTGCGGCCGGAACAACGAGCCACGTCAGCGCCGTCTAGCTTTATTCTCAGCACAAACTGAACGCCGTGTGCGTTGAAACGACACACGGAGCTGGAGTGCTGGTAACAATCAAGGGAGACTACTCAATTTTTACGAGGACGAATTACTTCACAAGAAATAGTTTCAGGCAGGAAGAAATTGCGTAGAATGCATTCAATCAAAAATCGATTGCCATCTAACATGTTGCCAGGAATCGAGAGAACAACCGTCGAGCGAAATTGTATTAGTTAATAAAGAGAATGCAAAAAGTTGCTCCCGCCACAGCACTGTAATGGCGAGTGTGGCACAACCAACAGACCTGCCGCCTGGACAGCAGGTCGCGTTAAGTACAGCCGAGGTTGTTCTCAGCACACAAAGAACGCCGTGTGAGCTCAGGGCATCACGGAGCTGGGGTGCTGACAACTACACAGGTCTTGAGACTAGAAGCATGAAATACATTAAATGATCAGCATAAGGGCTGTGGGCGAATTGTAGCAGCTTTTGAGAAACTTATCCGCTGTGTTAAATGTGTAAACCTCGTAGCAAGACGTGCATTTACATCCATGGTACGAGGTTAAATTTGGCATTCGTGTTGACTAGTCTGACATGAATGTAGTGGCCGTATCGGCAAAATGTTATCAAGTCATGTAGTGTTCAACGTATTTCAAGCATGTCAATCAATTCTCCTCCGGTGGAATGAAACCAGTCTTATTCCACCGCATTATTCGGAATTACTGAACGTAAGGCTTTTCACACGGAAGAATAGCATAGAAAAGATAAAAAAGCACGAGCCGCGAAACTGAATAAAATAAACGTATCAAATTTACGGAGCGAAGATATTATAAGTTCGTACCTCAATCGGATCAACATCATGGGCGATGACCACGAGTTTGGCTTTCTTCTGTTCGACCAAAGTCGTAACTTTGTTGATGCCTTGTTGGACGACCAGAGGCTTCTTCTTGGAAATAACGTCCTTACCCGCAGCCTGCTCCTCGGCCTGCTTCTTGAGGCGGAGCTTAGCTGCGAGCTTGGTCTCGGGTTTATACTTATTGAGGAGAGCCAACACTTCACGAGCTGCACACATTATGCAATATCCAGTTAAGTCAATGCTTAACGGTACTGTTGGTCACTCAAAACAGTTGAGACCAGTTAAACAAACATACATATTTATGAATACCCGTTACTAACTCAGCTTAGAGCTTCAATTGTAATGTTACTTTACCTTTGGCACAAGGCAACTCGAGATGACAGCGACGCAGCAGCCTGTAATGCAGGAGGAAGTCTCACCGAGACTTGCCTCGACTGTACCAGACATCGAAGTCAGTGACCAGAAAGGTGCACTTTTCGAGTCCTCGTGTACAGCCCCACCAGAGGTGGCTACAATAGGCGCGGGCTTGGAACCGCTTCATAATTGAACAAAATCCTCTCAAGTTATCCTTATGCGCTGCCCCAAGTGGTCAAAGAGTATAAAACAAAATTTATTTATTGACGCGCAGACAACTTGAGAGGACGTTCTAGAAGCCTACAAGCCCGTATAACATTCGGTAATTGCATTACTTCACGTGCAGCGGTGCGCTCGACTTCCTATTGTCGACTACAAGGACCACGCATTCAAGAGCCATAGGGCTACATTGCAAAAATTTTAGGCTAACTATGGAATTCTTATCAATTAGTAATCATTGGGAGACAAAAAAAAAAATGGAATAGCCAGAACTCCGATAAGTTGAATTCTAAGGAAGTCGAGCGCAAATGCACAGATGGTAGCAAATGATGCTTCAGCTTCCACCTCAGCGGGCGTCCAGGAAACCTGAAGTATGGTACCCAGGCTTAGTGCAACTGGTGTAAACTTGTTAACAATTGGACGAGTTACGCCCACCAACGTCAATACCAACAAAAACTTCATCAAATGTATAAAAAATATCCGAACAGTTTTTATTTACAGATAGCGAGTTAGTGAGCTTCCAACTCATTTTGTTCTTGTCCTAAAGTCTAAACTAAGAATAAATGTTGAAGTCCTGGCAAACTAAGCTTTCCTTTTTATTGCAAGACAGCTCAGACGACCGACCTTGATGACTGTCCAGCGTCTGGCGCTTGTTGAACTGGTACACTGGAGGAGGCACCTTAAGCCTCTGCAGGAGTAGGGCCTTCTGCCTCTGAAGGGTGATGTAGCGAGGCCACTTAGTGAAGCGGGTCAGATCCCTCTTGGCCCAGTCACGTTTGGCTGCACAACATCCAGAAAGTGAATGAAAGAATAACTGATCAATCATATTAGAGTTTCTTTGACACCTGAGCACCTGACGCCACCTGCAGTGCTGATTAACATCGGTATAGACCAGTTTAATGGTTTGTTACAGCTTGAAAATTGAGCATTTTCAGCACTCCCGCCAAAAGGAACCATTAAAAATATGCAGAACGAGAGTTTAAATAAAAATAGAAGAGCGGCTATTCTCAACATAATGTCATCTGCATAGCAAGATAAGCATTGCTGACCAAAATTGGATGTCCGGATGTATAATTTGACCATGATTTCCAGATAAAGTAAAATCAATACAACTTTCATTATCTCGATCATCAATTTTAAACGTTTACTCATTCACGAATCAAGTTATCACAAGGTTGGCTATGAATATATGATTAGCAGTGACGTTTATCATCAGTATTCGAGATATTGTAACGCACAGTTGCCTGTGTGGTGCTGCTTTCATTAACTAAGAACGAGACTTACGCTTGCTCGTGTTACGAGGTCGCTTCTCGAACAGAGGATTGACAACTCTCTCCTTCTCCTCCTTTTGAGCTTTTTTGGCAGATGATCCACCAGCAGCATCAATGAGAGCTGCGGGGGTGGGAGCTACCTTCTTTCCTTTGGGGATCTTCTTCCCCTTCGCAGGCTGAAAGAAGACCAGACAACGTTAGCAATGAGCACCACTTAAATTTAACACAAACCATTGCATTGTAATGCTTGCGATTTATTTGCCAGAGAGTTTACATTGTACCAGAGAACCAATGCATGAACAATGAATCATAAACGCCACTTGGACAATAATCAGTTTAACACTGTCAAAATGTATGTTCAAGCATGAATATCTCTGGACACAGATCATATTAATTGAATCCTCAAAATCTGCTTTCAGGGTAAATTTACACATTGTATTTTGAATCGTAATTTGGTGTACCTATGTTATGCATTTATTTTGTTGAACACCTATCAATAAACATTTCTCCAGATAATTATATTCATTCTTATTCATTCACGTCAATAAAACTGCTTCAGAGCATGTCCACTGAAATGAAGGGAAGGTTTTTCCAACAGTTTTTCAACAAACCTAGGAACATTAGTGCAAGAATGTTGCAAACATGCAAAGGCATTTTGGAATATTTTTTGCTAATTAGGAAAAAACAGTTCCAGACAATATTCATAGATTATGCAATTTCCAACCTTAGTAGCTAGACAGACTAATGAAAATGGCATCAATCACTGATTGAAACTAAATGCTGAAATAAATATGTAATTTTGCTTAAAACACGAGACATTGATGAGAAGTAAAACCATAATTATAAGCCTCTGTATAAAACTAACTTTAAATTTTGAATATTATTAATCCAGGAAAAAATTTCAAAAATGGAAAAACCAATGCTCTTTGAAAAAATGTCCAACAGGGCTTGTCTTCCAAATTGACACATCTACCTTCACGGAAAAGACAAGAGGATTTTTATTTTGCCTCGTTGATCTAGAAAGGTAGGAGCTCTGCTGAAGGATTGAAAGTTTACATTAAAGACCAATCCAGCTGGTAATTTGCTCAAGCACAAAAAATATCAGTAAAAGTGGAATGAGAGAGAGGCCATTTGTTTTATGCGTGACAGAGGCAAGAGGGAAACTGTGAAGCACCTGATGATGAAGAATGATACATACAAAAGGTTGAGACTGGAAATGATGAACAAGACCGGCAATGATGAACAAGACTGGCAATGATGAGCAAGACTGGCAATGATGAGCAAGACTGGCAATGATGAGCAAGACTGGCAATGATGAGCAAGACTGGCAATGATGAGCAAGACTGGCAATGATGAGCAAGACTGGCAATGATGAGCAAGACTGGCAATGATGAGCAAGACTGGCAATGATGAGCAAGACTGGCAATGATGAGCAAGACTGGCAATGATGAGCAAGACTGGCAATGATGAGCAAGACTGGCAATGATGAGCAAGACTGGCAATGATGAGCAAGACTGGCAATGATGAGCAAGACTGGCAATGATGAGCAAGACTGGCAATGATGAGCAAGACTGGCAATGATGAGCAAGACTGGCAATGATGAGCAAGACTGGCAATGATGAGCAAGACTGGCAATGATGAGCAAGACTGGCAATGATGAGCAAGACTGGCAATGATGAGCAAGACTGGCAATGATGAGCAAGACTGGCAATGATGAGCAAGACTGGCAATGATGAGCAAGACTGGCAATGATGAGCAAGACTGGCAATGATGAGCAAGACTGGCAATGATGAGCAAGACTGGCAATGATGAGCAAGACTGGCAATGATGAGCAAGACTGGCAATGATGAGCAAGACTGGCAATGATGAGCAAGACTGNAGCCTCAAACACTAACCAGGGGACAAACAATACAAACTGGGCTTTTTTATTGAATGATTTGAAGCAACCATATTTGGGACGTGCCACTAAAGGGTTAATGCTCTACCACTGATGAATAAAGACTGCACAACATCATACCAGAAATGGAATTTTCTTCCAATTACTGAAATTTCTTGGCTGATTCAGCTCCAAAGTAAGCATTTTTCCATACATTTGTAATCCTACATACACTTCAGTTAAAAATTACTTGAATTAGATAACAGGTATACAATTCCTCCAGCATGACTCTTGAACTAAAAATAGCATGAAGAGTTCTAGTCATGGCTAAATGATAGATATATTCCACACCAGGTTGCCAGGATCCAGCCAACACATGCAGATGCACATAGCATGCAACTATTTATTAACAACTAGAGACTTGCCAACAATAGTGAGAATATCTTTGCAATTAAAAGAACTTATTTTAAAGCTTTTTTACCATCAAAACATCAAGATTAACATTTGGCAAGCCAGTGTAGAATTCAGAATGGGTAATATATTTTTCTCCTTCATACAAGAAAATGGGTTTAAAAGCCTACCACCTTACACCCTCCACTGCAGTGACAATTGATGCACTGAGCTAAACAAAATGCTATGGATGCAATATTGTGGGCCATGATTTGGAATCCGATACTGGGTCGGGCAGTTGAAGACGTCTTACTTGATTGCATCCACTAGTCATTTATCCGTAGCTAACTAATTATTGCAATGAATATGTTCTAAAATAAAAAAATTATAAATCAAAATTATTTGGTAATTTATTATTCATAAATGTTAATTCATTGTGTGTTTAACTTGGAGACGAATTGCTATTGAATTAATATTGAGTCTTATCAAAATCTCAAAAAATTGTAACCATTTTTGATTCTTTCATGTCTAACTTTAATCCCTCCTATTTTTATCCTTTCTATCTTAATTAAAATTTCTGGATCAAAAAAGTGGGAGGTGGGGTAAACGCGGTATATTCCATCACATTAAAGACGCATCGAGAAATGAAAAACAATAAAAAAATAACCGTATGCATTACTCTAGTTCTGTTTGCTTTATGTGACTCAAAACACCGCACTCCGTGTCAGCAACAACAAAACGTCACAAAATGTTGCCATATTTATTTAAAAGCCTTTAGAATGGAAACCTACCATTGCTACCAAATCCCTATATTCCATCACTGTGTGTGGCAATATTCAGCACGTGGTGAGGCGTATTCCGTCCGCGCTTCAAATTCTACTGATACGTAATGCCGTCATCCACGTGTTCAAATTCCGTTCGCTGCGTGAGCTGTATTGGAATGCAACACGGCTTTGAATTAGAAAACTAATGAATATTGAACACTACTTAATTACGCATTTAATTAACAACTATTAAGCTTTTAATTAAGCAAATTTTAATTTTTGTACACAGCTTGGAACAATCTGTGTGTCCAATTCAAGTTGTGACGGAATTAGTTTTCATGTGTCTAAATCCATTTCTCAACTTGATCATCTATTACTTTATATACCACTTGAAATCAGTGAATACAATATACAAGTATACTTAAAGGATTCCTAATACATTCACAGACGTATTTAAAAGTCTCATGTCCCAAACCATAATATTCTTCCTATAAAAACAGTTATTCACTATTTGGTAGAGCAAGGTCAACTGTCAAATTTGACACATTTTTCAATCTCACTGGGTAGCGTGCATCGTCTCTCTTTGGATCTAAATATTTTCCCACTAGATGGCCAAGACCTAGTGTTTTAAAAAAAAGTGGTCTAAGTTACCCCATTTTACGGTAGTCGTTTATCCGTAGCTAACTAATTATTGCAATGAATATGTTCTAAAATAAAAAAATTATAAATCAAAATTATTTGGTATGATTTATTATTAATTCATAAATGTTAATTCATTGGGTTTGACTTGGAGACGAATTGCTATCGAGTCTAATCAAAATCTCAAAATATTGTAACCTTCATTTTTTATTCTTTCATGCGTAACTTTAATCCCTCCTATTTTTATCCTTTCTATCTCAAAATTTCTGGATCAAAAAAATGGGAGGTGGTTAAAAAATAAATTAGGAACCTTAATTTTTAGAATTTCATCCTGATTATGTGAGCCAGAGTAAAAGTATAAAAAACTGAGAGGTTGGGAACAATAAATAACATTCAACGATTCAAGTATCATGCTCAGCCTCAAAAACCACCTAGTTTTCTTAGCAACATGAATTTCTTGATTCAAACTCAACACAACTACCACACAACTGACAAGGATAGACAGAAATCCATTGAACAAGATATAGTGTAAAAATTCATCAAATTAATTGTGCATCACATGGAATTTATACCAAATAGTCTTACAGAAGCTGTCACAATGTAATATTTGAAGCAAATTCAACTTGAATTCTAAAATGTACAAAGCTAAAAAAAACTGGTGCCAGGAAACTGGAAGTTGAAATGCAATGTGGGAGTGAGGCTACCTGCATTAGGATCATACATAAAAAATTGACTTTAATCAGAATTGTGAGTAGGTAAATGAGGAAATTAAAAATGAACTGATTCTAAAAAATTGGTTGTGTGAAAATTGCCAATGCACACAACCCACAATGTGGGTTGTGTGAAAATTGCCAATAAGATTTAGTAACAGACTAACAGCCATCATGCAAGGAAAATAGTAAAACCTATTGTTAGATTCATCATTTCATGCTCTATGGGTTATTCGAATTATTTTCTGGAATTATGTTGCATTGTTGCATGTTTATCTACTTATTTAAAGGGAAAATCAACACAAGAGGCCAAGAGATGTTTGAAAATAATAGACGGCTGGCAATCCAAACAATTTTTTAGGGCCAAATTATGGGCTTAAAATCAAGAGTACCTAGGGCTAGGTACAATGAATTGGTCATCCAAGCACATCATGGAACTTTGGAAGCATTGAAGTTGGAACTTGACTCAGTGCTGGCATAGTGATTAGTGACAAACCATGAATTTTTTAGAATCAGTTCATTTTTAATTTCCTCATTTACCTACTCACAATTCTGATTAAAGTCAATTTTTTATGTATGATCCTAATGCAGGTAGGTATCCAGGATACTTTACTGGCCTACATATAGAACTCAAAAATGAGTTTGGAGGGACAGAAGGATAGTGAAAAAAACTTTCTGCTTTGCCACATTTAAAAATGTCTGAAATTAGGTTTAAATCTAGAGTAGGCCTACCTAAATGAGGAAATTGGAAATTAATTAATTCTAAATTTCTAAAAAAAAATTTTGTTGGTCACCGTGCGGGTGAGTTCTACTCGCTTCATGGAGACAAAAAGCACCATGCACCATGCCTAATTAAGCTCCTTTACTCTAGATTTAAACCTAATTTTAAATGTATGACGATGCCGGTTTGAGTGGTATCTAGCAGTAGCTTATACACGAGCGAGTCGCTCATTGAAATGTCATGACACTCTACTAGAACACCTTACAAGTTACTGGCGAGATGTCACGAATTTCGTCTACAGAATCGCAACTATTTTGAAAATAAATATCGAATAAATAACCTTACCTTCTTCTGTCCAACCATGATGATGAGAGCGGCAGCGCACCACAATTAAATGAACGTATAAGTCTAANCGGGACGCCACAGTCCCGTCAGTCACGAAAGGGTATTAAAAAACAGATCTGGGTGAAAAAAAACCATCGCTGTTAGTCATGTGCTGCACGTGTTGTGTACAAATCGTCAAACAAACGTTCGAACTTCTGACATCGACTTCGGACTACCGCCCCCCCCATCGCCCCCCTACCGCCCTCTTCTTCCTTACCGCCCCCCAAAATCTTTCCATCGCCCCTAGGGGGGCGATATCGCCCACTATGGGAACCACGGGTCTAGTCTCTCTTGAAGACGTTCATACTCGGAGCGTCAACGATGCTAGTAGGGATGTATTATAGTCTATAAGAAGCTTTTGAAAGTGAATTATAATTTGAAATTATTATTTATGGGGGTAATTTGAGTTCAAGTTCAGACTATTGGCTTTCAAAATAAAATGTTTACACGATATAAATTGAAATGATTCCTAGTGGGGCAACGGGCCCATGCGTGTCACGGGGCAAAGCACCCATAATATGCTCAATATCTCTCTGTGAAAATCTATGACTAGATTTTTCAATTACAAATTACACTTCATATTGTATGCTTTTTTTATATTTGCCGCCTCAAGGCAGCAGGTTCTATTTTCTAATTATGCGTATTTCTGACCCCTTGTTTCTCTTTCATCCTTAAAACATTATTCGCAACTATAAAAGGAAGCCCAATTTAAGCATATATTCTAAAACTGAACTTTAGGATGTTCTGATGGAAATTAGGAATGGCAAATTACCATGAGTTAAAATTGCCAAGTAAACGTTGCGTCGGCCCATAGACGGCAACATGAAGCAACCTGGAATTCTTTGTTTAGGAAGATACGATAACTACATCCTTGAATGTAGTTATCGTATCTTCCTTGAAAAACTTACATGAATGAATGTAAGTTTTTAAATTACATTTCTCTTATTTTAAACTGTAAATTGTAGTTTTATCATGTTTAAAAAAAATATGCGATTGGGGTAGAGGGACTAGGGGTGGGCGCCTCGCCCCGAGCTCCAGGGGAACAATTTTTTAGGGCCAAATTATGGGCATAAAATTAAGAGTACAATGAATTGGTCATCCAAGCACATCATGTAAGCATTGAAGTTGGAACTTGGAACTCAGTGCGCAGTGACAAACCACAGATTTTTTAGAATCAGTTCATTTTTAATTTCCTCATTTACTCACGATCCAAGTCAATTTTTTATGTATGATAATGCAGGTATTCAGGATACTTTATTGGCCTACATATAGTAGAACTCAAAAATGAGTTTGGAGGGACAGAGGGATAGTGAAAAAAACTCTCTGCTTTGCCACATTTAATAATGTTTAAAATTAGATTCAAATCTAGAGTAAATGAGAAAATTAGAAATTAATTAATTCTAAAAAAATTGGTTTGTCACCATGCAACTTGCAAGTGAATTCTACTCGCATCATCCGCATGGTGACAAAAAAATTTTTTAGAACCAGTTAGCGAATTCCTAATTTCCTCATTAAGCTCCTTTACTCTAGATTTAAACTTAATTTTAAAAGTACGAGTGACAATGCTGGTTTGAGTGATACCTAGCCTGGTAGGCTATCCATGAGTGAGTCGCTCATTGAAGTGTCATGACACTTAACTTAGTTAACTAGTCTACTAATGAGACTAAAAAATTTGACTTGAGGGAGAGTCTAAAAAACTTGGCAGTTTTGCTTTGGCAAAATGCCTGGCAGATTAGCCTAGGATATTTGCAAAAACATTTGAAAAGGTTGGGAGTTGGGACTAGTATGGGAAAGCCCATGCCTGGATCATGAATTGGTCAGCAACAACTTGCCCCCAAAAAATGAAAAGCTAATATTAAGCTAGAATTCTGAGATTTGCTACTTACTATGCATTTTAGCCTTATAGGGATATTGAACCTAGCAAGGCCTAGGTAGGCTAGCCTATTCAAACAGGCCTAATTACTAATTTCAAAGTCACCTTCATCACTGGTCTACTTGAAATTTTGAATATAGATTTTTTGGTGTGGGATTTCTACTGTGAATTTTGATTGAAATTTTCCTTGCTTCTAAATTAGCTACCCCCACTAAAACGAATAACTAGACGGTATTGTACAATTTAAATCAAGAGATTGCGAAATAGGATGACCTGGCGAGAGGAAACTACAGAGCAGTAGCTCGTATCTAATTACACCTTACAAGTTACTGGCGAGAGCCGAGATGTCAAAATTTTCGTCTACAGAATCGCAACTATTTTGAAAATAAATATCGAATAAATAACCTTACCTTCTTCTGTCCAACCATGATGATGAGAGCGGCAGCGCACCACAATTAAATGAACGTATAAGTCTAAGTGCGTGGCTGGCCGAAATGAGATAGATAGATGGTTCTCTACGGGCAACGTGAGGCGAATTTGTCTAAATTCATCTTGCACAAACTATTTTAAAATAGGCCATGAAATTTTTCGCGAGTTCGGCGATGATTAATTATTAGGTGATAAATGAATTAAAGGTGAATAAATATAAACAAGTAGATTTGAAAATAATTTTTATAATCAGTTAGGTAGTAGATTTTAAGATAGAATTATAAGAGAAGTGTCGACCCTGAAGAAATAGTGGCCCATGGCCTGTTGCCGGTGTCCGAGAGGTTTGCCGATTCTTGTACTTTCCATGACTTTATTCCACAACGGATTCAGCCTTTTGAACTCGATCTTTCCATAACTGACGACTGTCTGAGATATATACTGGACTTATTGCAAGGCCCGTAAGGTGCTTGGAATATTAAGACTGGACATATGTTCCTGCATAGCTTCGTATAGTCCAGTGGTTTCCAAACTTTTTCAGGCTGGCGCCCCCTTTGGCTCCCTAGTGAAGAATTTCTAGCGCCCCCCCCCCCACAGACGTACGCCTCTTTCTTAAAATTCAGTACACTGCAATTTTAAAAGATGAAGGTTAAGCACAAATGTGTACTTTACAAATAGAACCCCATTTAGCGAACCAATATGTTTTTCAGCTGTTTTAAACCGGTCGGTTTTAAATATATAAAGTTTCGTTGAAATCTGTTCTGTAGTTTAGAAGAAATTTCATGATCGCCACGAATTTAAGTGACAAATTACCCGGCGATACGGGCCGAATATAAGGAAGTGTGAAATCATGAATGACGGTAAATGAAAAAAAAACTCGCAAACGAAAGTAAAATCGAAAAAAATGTATTAGCTAAAAAATCGCCGTTTGGTAGTTGGGAATGTATATTCAAAATTTCGTTCAAATCTGTTCTCTATTTGGAAGAAATTCTTTGATCACTGCAAATTTCGGCCTGTTTCGCAATATACGCTTAACTCACGAATGAAGGTGAAATTGAAAAAAAATTACGAGTTGAACATCACCGTTAGGTTCTGATGAATACGTGTTCCAAGTTTCATAGAGCTGCGTTCATTAGTTTGGGAGATATTACTTGCTATTTGAATTTGGAGATTGGTCGTGAGACCGGCCATGAGTCCGGCCGTAAATTCGCCCGAGACGTCCTAGGTTTCTAGTGCTGAAACAGTTAACATTTTCGTAACGGCTATACGTATTACAAGCTTTTATTGTAATTTTTTTACAGAATCGCAGTAAATTAGGACTAAATAATGCATTTCTGTTGAAAAAATAATTAAATATATGTTAATGGTAAAAATTCTATAAGCGGGACTTGAGAGTCCCAGTAGTAAATGGACAACTGAAGTGACAGATTTTGCGACATTAGGCTGCAACAGTGTAGCTGCACTTCTGTTGTTATTTGTTGAAATGTATCTTTTACATGCAATGCTTGGCTCTACAGGCAAATTTGGAGTTCGTGATAATAGAAATTCATCATTATCAGCAATATATTTATTGTTATAAATAATGATTTAGCGAAAAAAATATTAATCTACTATGCATACTTTATAGTAGTTGAATGACATATCACAAAGTTCCTTTGGATAACGTGTGCAATAGCTTATTATGCTTATAATGACATATCAC